GAGAGACTTTAATTACAGCTTGCAGGTTTTTAATTTATTTTAAATAATACATTTCACTTAAATAAAAGGTTTCCTGTTGAAGTAAAATCAATAAAACAGAAAGTGGTGTAAAATATAAAAAAATGGCTTTGCTCAGGTGAAGGGGGCGGGGCTAAAGCTTTAAGTTGGAGGTGCGGTGTGTGACGGGAGGGCAGCAGGCAGCAGCAATACCGTTATTGACACGCAGACACAACCTTATGTTTAGTAAAAGACAGATTATTAGGATCTGCTGTTTAAGTTTATGTTAAATATTGTTTTTGTTTTATGTTTGCTGGAAATAAACGTTGAAAAGCAACCGAAACGTCCAGTGGACTGCGAGTCTGACACTGCTTCCCAGCCCCAAGCTCTACATGTAGAACAATAACTTTTGAGGTATCGAGTTACAAGACAAACTTTTTGGGATTTTGGCCACTACACTATAATAAAAGGAATTTTAGATGGCGTGTTCTGATATTATAGTATATATAAAAAATCAAGCAATTCATTTGTATTTTCAGTGTCTGAGTCGCAGCACGGCGGTGGAAATCGTGAACAGCAGTAAAGTCCTGCAGGAGGAGACCAGGATGCTGCTGGATGGAAAACTACTGGTACGCCTCTTCACTTTCATCCTGCTCTCCTCTCTCTTTCATTCAATGCTCCACGTCTCACGTTACAGTTTCTGCCGTCTGTTTATTGTCTTGTTTGCTCTAATTTACCCCGTAAGGACATTTATCTCTCGACTCACAATAGCCCTTTGTGCAGAAGAACAAATAAAATGCACCATTGCAAAAATCATGACATGAAAACAAATCATCTGCTCTCTGCTTTGCTTTTCATCTGCTTCCAATATTTATAACATTTTCAGACTTTCACTTATTTTATCTCATGTCATTCTGAGACATTGAATAGGAGTCTTCTCCTGCTCATGTTCAGGTGTATATCAGTATGTAGTGTCTCTACTTTAAAGAGTCCTCTCCTGCTGATGTTCAGGTGTATATCAGTATGTAGTGTCTCTACTTTAAAGAGTCCTCTCCTGCTGATGTTCATGTGTATATCAGTATGTAGTGTCTCTACTTTAAAGAGTCCTCTCCTGCTGATGTTCAGGTGTATATCAGTATGTAGTGTCCTCTACTTTAAAGAGTCCTCTCCTGCTGATGTTTCATGTGTTATATCAGTATGTAGTGTCTCTACTTTAAAGAGTCCTCTCCTGCTGATGTTCCAGGTGTATATCAGTATGTAGTGTCTCTACTTTAAAGAGTCCTCTCCTGCTGATTGTCAGGGGTATATCAGTATGTAGTGTCTCTACTTTAAAGAGTCCTCTCCTGCTGATGTTCATGTGTATATCAGTATGTAGGTCTCTACTTTAAAGAGTCCTCTCCTGCTGATGTTCAGGTGTATATCAGTATGTAGTTGTCTCTACTTTAAAGAGTCCTCTCCTGCTGATGTTCAGGTGTATATCAGTATGTAGTGTCTCTACTTTAAGAGTCCTCTCCTGCTGATGTTCAGGTGTATATCAGTATGTAGTGTCTCTACTTTTAAAGAGTCCTCTCCTGCTGATGTTCAGGTGTATATCAGTATGTAGTTGTCTCTACTTTAAAGAGTCCTCTCTCTGCTGATGTTCAGGTGTATAACAGTATTGTAGGTCTCTACTTTCTTTAACGAGTCCTCTTCCTGCTGATGTTCAGGTTATATCAGTATGTAGTGTCTCTACTTTAAAGAGTCCTCTCCTGCTGATGTTCAGGTTGTATATCAGTATGTAGTGTCTCTACTTTAAAGAGTCCTCTCCTGCTGATGTTCAGGTGTATATCAGTATGTAGTGGTCTCTACTTTTAAAGAGTCCTCTCCTGTTGATGTTCAGGTGTATATCAGTATGTAGTGTCTCTACTTTAAAGAGTCCTCTCCTGCTGATGTTCAGGTGTATATCAGTATGT